CATTAAGAATTAGCACAAATGTCTTACAGCAATAGTGCAGTTTCAATTCAGAAAGCTCGCAAAAAAACATACAAAATAGTTTAAGTATTGTAATTGTTGATTGTTGCATAAAGATAGGGCACAACAACATGTAAAATCATAGTTGTAAGAATTCTATTTAAAAAATTTATATCTTCAAACACTCTTAAACAAACCCGCCCCCCAACTCCTGGAGACACGAATGGATGAGTTGTCTACTGTGCTCTTTTCTTTGCTATATTTTCATTTCTATTGTTGGCTGAGGAAGGCTTTATGCCGAAAGTCCTTGTTTTTTGTCCTGTTATCTTATTTCAAGCTTCCACATACCTCGTTTCACTATTTCATTCATTTACTAAGCTTGAAAGCAGTCCTTTCATTTATATTTTCTAGCCCCCAACTCCCCCTTTTTTTTCTCCATAAATCCAATGCAAAATATAAGTTAATGTTTTATTAAGCTAAACTTAGATATCTTTTGGTATCTGAGATGGATGACTCTCATCTCTGTTATCATGCAGTTAGCAAGAAGCTCAAACAATATTAAATGAAATATGAATAGAAACATTATGGATAATTTCTTTCAAGTATTTCAATACCTTAGCAGCAAATCTAATTACCTCATAAGTAGACAACATTATTATTTTAAACTGCATTGCATGTTTCAGTTCACCCACAATGTCTGATAAAAAATGTGGCACTAAAAGTGTTTTGTCATCATAAATTAATAAGAGAGGTCTGGCTTTAAGTAACGTAATCCACAGCATCTTAACATACATTCCAATTTTTTCAACATTTGTGTTACCTGTAACAATCTGAGATCTTTCATTAAAAATGGTGTCTGCCTCATTACTTCATGTAACTGGTTCAGTTCTGTTTACTGGAATAATGTTGTGCAATCCTATATTTAACCCTGGTAGCACAACTGCTCTCACACCATGCTGAATGATACCATGTCTATCTTCCCGTAGGTGATGGTTTCTATTTCTTTGCCTTAAGAAATACCGTTGCTGTTCCTGGGTACAGTTTCTCCGATTATCTAAAGTAGTTCTCGTGTTGTGGCGCTCTCTTTCCACATTCTGTCGATTTTCGAGGCTTGCTCTTTGATTATCAGCTCCGTTTTCCCTGGCTATATTTCTTCTGTTGTCATTATCTATACGATGCCGATCAGCTTCTACCAAATTGTTTTCTTCATTCTCATTTTCTCTGTTTTCAGCTTCAAGCTGCCTGTTTATGGGTTCGATTTCCCTGTGTTCATTTCTTCGATTCTCTAACAACACTTGATGTATGTTTTGATTGTTTCTTATTTGATTATGATTCCGCAGCCTTCCAAGGTATCTCTGATTGTACACTGACAACAGTCTTGCCATTTTACAGAACCAGACTTGATGACTGCGCTCACAGTAGAGCACAAGAACGAGCATGAGAAACAGCCAGCTGAAGGCACTTGTAGATCTATCCTCTAATCCTAAAATCCCACAAGTGAAATGAAATAGAATCCATGTTGTCCAGTAGAGAGTATTTATAAATATCTTACCAAAACCAAATGCTATAGCATTGAACATGGAAATGAACACTTGTGCTATGAAATAAACCATAATTTTTATTAGGTTGATCACGGTTTGGATTATTAAGAAAAAATCATAGAGAACAGAAGTAACCAAATCTGATGAAGAGGTGCTGCTTAGTATATTGAAGTAACTTTCATGGAAGTTAATATTCATTTTAAAGCCAAATAGACCATAGCCTTGATTTTCACTTCTTGGTAATCTGTGTCATTTTACTGTGGCAACAAGAGGTTGAAAAATGAGCCAATAAAAACTCATAAATGTCTCAAAAAATGGTGAAAAGAACAAATAAATTGATTAATAAGTTGCAATTAAATCATATTTAAACTATGATTATATTGATTCCTCTTCATCTATCAGACATTGAAAAAGATATTTCCCTCACTTAATTGAATTTTGCTGTTTGTCACAAAAACAACATTGTAGCATCTATTTCCCTAAAAACCTGAGGGTCATCCTTTATTTCTTGCCATAATAAATATTTTGTAATTACAAAGGCATTTCAATTTCAATGCAGTTCTCAAGCACAACGCTTCTATTAATTTTGTTTGTGAGTGCAGTCTTGCCGATTTGAGATAAGTTCATCTTCAGTAAGCATTGATTTATTGTAATCAAAATGAATCTAACAGTTCACTAATATGCATTAACCTGACTTGAATTAGTGCCCTACCATCCCTACATTTTGATGAGATACAAGATTTTTAAAAACATGTATAGAATTCAACCGGATAGAAAATGATATACCTTTTGAATTTATTGAATACTTTGTTTCAAAAATATGGTGTACTTTGGTGTCTTTATTATGAAATTACTTGAAATACCAGTGGGTGAATCTTTAATGATGTCTGTTTCAAACACTTTTGATAGTGTGTAGTGTAGTCCAACTGCAGTAATCTTGGGGTTATGGCATACCTCATACAATAACAAATGCTTTATTTTCTAAAAGCAATTTTGGGTTGTTTAACTTTCATTCTGACTGAAAGAAAAGGTAAATATTGTTATTATTTGACAAATATATTTTAAATTTATTGTGTATCAAGTCATTCACTTTTCTATGGATAGCTTGGTACCAGAGTAGGTTGAGTATAACCTACATATTATAAATTAATATTTTATGAAGAAGCAGAAGTTGAAATGTTATACAGCAATTAAGCAATAAAATTAGCTAAACTATAATAAAGGGGTTGACTCATAAGACAATTAGTCACAATAATTAAACAGTCAAAATACAAAAGAAGTAAATTTATTTTATATGTCCTATATTTTAGGTGCATTTCAACAATTCCAAAATTTATTTTAAATAGGCCCATTCCTTTACTCCAGAATAACTCTTCTCTTAAATATATCCATGCAAATCAATTTATCTTATTAACTTTTAACATTTTCCGGTTAAGCCAGAAGTTTGACCAACAAAAAAAAAAAAAAAAAAAAAAAAAAAAAAAAAGAGTGACAAAAACAAAAAAAAAAAAAAAAAAAAAAAAAAGATGGGTTTCAGTGTGAGTATAAAAATCAATTTACACCAATTGACCCCAGCCAATACTGTACAGTAAGTAGAGTATTTTGGCCACGGCATCTGTGTTAACTGTGTAGTGGTAGATTAAAGTCGTTTGCAGAAATAATAAGTAGGCAGTAGGCTCATACTAGGGTATTACTAGTATTGCTGAATTAGTAAAGTGAACAGTGGAGTGTGTCAGTGTCACAAGTGACAACGAAACTAGTCAGTAGAGTACAAATTAAAAAGAAGCCTTACTGTAAGACTACTTTTTAATTAGTAATTGAAAATTCACATTGAAATTCAACAACTAAAATTAATATATATAGGGCCTACCTACATTATGATTTTGTTTAGGTAGGGCCTATACACTAAATAGTAAATACTAAATTCTAAATTTAAATACGCAAAGTAGTTTAAGTAAATGAATACTATAATTATAATAACTATAGACTATAGACATAGTCATAGTCACAGACAGACTGCAGGCTGTAGACTGTAGGCCTATTATCTGAATCTGATAACTATATTTTATAATTAACATTAATGCGGATATCACTTGTTCCTTGTAATTATTATCAGGTAAAAATATTTTTAGGCTATTCTGTGAATTTATTACTTACACTTTTGTATTTGACATTAGTTAAAGCGCCTTCTTGGTAAACTCACTGAAGTCGCAGAGAAAATTGCGAATTCTAAAAGATATGAAGTATATGACTCATTACTAGTCATTAGTTTGTCGTATCGTACCTGGCAGTGTTATTTGTGTTTCGGGAATCCCCAAAAACTCAAAGCACTATAAACCACTTTTAAAAATAATGTATAAATAACAAATAGACAGGAAATGACCTTTGAAAATGGCGTCCCAACATAACTTTCTTGTGTCCACGTAAAAGTCTACTACTCTAACATTCCATTTGAACTGTAAACATTGCATTTTAATTTATTAAAGTGCAACACATGATTTGACTTCTTATTTTTCAAGGCAGCTAAGAGTATGATTTATATCATATTATATGGATGATATAATTACGTAACATAATATTGTGTTAGTGTGGTCCTGGTCAACATGCACCGAATTCAATAACACACAGTTAGTGGACAACAGACTAAAAATTAACTCAACTTTAAAAGTAGAACGGTGCATCTCTAAATGTCAATAATATAGAAGCCTATTGGAATATCCATTAACTATTATTACTGTTACACTAGAGTTAGAGTAACAGCATTACCCTACGCCTACACTGACACTGTATGATCACCTGATTACATTCATAAAAAAGGGATTAAATTATTTAAAATGTTGAACTATTCTAATACTAATACACAAGACAAGATAAGTAAACTGGTTGCTAGTGCCAGATTCCAGCTGATAAAATGACAAACATTTAATACTGACCTCATGGGATGGGGCCTAGAACAGATGAACCTTGCTGCTTGTGAAGAGTGAAAATTTGTGAATGTGACTGCTGATACACCCAGTGTCCACAAAGAAATGTGTCAGCATGATGATATTTGTGAAGTTGAATAGCAATGATTCATTATGTTTCACATAAAATCAACCTCACTTGACTTGCTTCATTAGGCCTAACTAATAGTTTTTTTATTTTACTTTAAATGTGAAGAAACATTTTAACTCACCGGGGTGTCAAAAATTCAGTGCTGGTATTTGGAAATATAGCAAAGTGATTTATTTCCTTTCAAACAGATTATGATTAGTCTGGCCCAGACTAACAAAGTGAAAATAATAGCTCTTACTTTGGTCTCAGTTGAACAGGCTAAATAAAAATTCTTTTATACCAGAAGAGTAAGCTGTTATACTACAGAACGTATCCAGATCTTCGGTGTCATCCAAACATGAATTGACTTGCTGTTTGTTTTGTTAAATTCTTAAGACAAAACTATTTTAGAAAACTAAGAACAAGAATATGCTTGAAATTTTGTATTACGGATGTGCAGCTATTGCTGCAGCTGTACATGCAGTCATAAATACTGGGAAGTATATCATTCACATAAATTATGAACTGGTTGCAAGAGTGGTACAACTTATTTCTCACATTATATCCATAATGGTTTCATTTTATGATCACATCAAGCTTGTTTTTATTTCAATTATTGACTTCGTCCTTGAAATTCAAACTCTTTGTAATTCAATAATAATGATGGTTTGGAAAGTAATTCTGCATTCTACTGGATTTATTCATTCATGCTATTCAAGTTTCATCACTTTCTGCCTTAATTTGGCTAACTACATTATCAATGGCTGTCTTGCAGTAAGAACTTTAATTGTTAATGGCAATGAACTGATCATGATGATGACCCAGAATAGCTTTGGACTTCTTGTTAGTGTGACAACTGCTTTTTATTTTACTGTAACAGCAATAGGAAGTTGTTGTTACAATTTAATACTAGGAGCCTGGCATGGTCTTGGATTTGTGCTTTCATCTGTGGCATATTTCCCACTGTATGTTATGCAATGTATTGAAAATTCATGGAGAAATCTTACAGTGACATGTGCAAATATAATCACTGCCATAACAAAGGAGACATATCTTGGAATAGTTGTTCTATGCTTACTTTATCTTACATTATCTAATACCATTCGATACATGTATTGCCGAGGCCTTTCATTGTTTCCTAGAAGATTGAACAGTAGGCGAGGAAGAGGGAGTCATTTTAACTGGCAAGTGGATAGAGGATTTGAAAGTGATTTTGAAGATTTGTATGGATCAGATGCAGAGGATAATCCTTTAACTATTGAAAGAGATCAAATCAATGATAGCGATGGAGATAGCAGTAGTGATGAAGAAACAAATAATACTGATTCCAGCAGTTCTGATGTGTCAGATAATGATTCTGATGAATACACTGTTGTTACAGAGGAATCAGACAGTGATGGTTCTATCAATTCACAGACATTCTCAACAGAATCAAGTGATCATGAAATAGAGGTTCAGCTTCCTCAAGTTGAACAGTACAGTCTTCGCCACAGGTCATCAACCCCATCCAGAGCACACAAATTTATGAGTAGTCCAGAAGACTTCGACAGAGAAATGGAGAGAGAAAGGGATAAGAGAAAATGTGTGGTGTGTCAAGATGAAATCAAGTCTGTGCTTGTGCTGCCTTGTAAGCATATGTGTATGTGCGTCCTTTGCGCTGAGCAGATAGTCAGGTCACAAATTGCTGGTCGTAGAGTTTGTCCATTATGTCGTTCAAAAATAGCCAAAGTAATGAACATTTATGTTTGATATTTTTGCCTGCTTCATGCCTTAATCATTTATGCTTCAAATTCTGTCGTTTTTTTATTAAACCATATTTAATAAATGTTTGTATTATTTATTTTAGTGATAGAACACTTTTAGAAAAATCTTTGTTGTGTTAAATTGAACTTAGAGTTAGACTTATATGCCCCTTGTTAATTTTTTTTTTTTTTTTTTACTTTATTTAAAAAAGGCATCATCTTTATAAATTTTATTTAATAAATGTTTGTATTATTTATTTTAGTGATAGAACACTTTTAGAAAAATCTTTGTTGTGTTAAATTGAACTTAGAGTTAGACTTATATGCCCCTTGTTAATTTTTTTTTTTTTTTTTTTACTTTATTTAAAAAAGGCATCATCTTTATAAATTGTTAACTGTGAATCATACAAGTAATTTTATTTTCAACTTCATATTTGTTATAAACATATAATATGTTTTCATTAATAAAAATAGTACATGTAAGAATATTAAGACAAACTCAAATATTTAATTTTTACTTTTTTGAAATTTATTTACCAGTTACGGCACTGGTTTAAGTACCGGTATTATTAATTAATAAATAAGAAAAAGGTCATTTTTATATGTCTGATTTGAGTGAGCATCATTTCAAAAAAAATTACAATGTTTTCAGTTGTTTTTATTAGGGTAATTCATCTTCAGCTTCATATTGATAACTTAATTATGTGAATTTTACCATATTATGACATAACATAACTTTAATAGCCTATTAATGTGATATACCAGTGTTACAATTAAAAAGTAATGTACCTTTATTTAACACTTAAAACTATAAGGGGAAGAATGTCAATTAACACGAAATAGTAAACGCAATTGAGTGTTGCAAGTTGCATATGTTTAGATTCAACTTAAAAACATCTGCCACTAAAGTTTCTTACAGTTACAGACACACTGTGTTAATAGTGTTAACACAGGTTATTAACACAACCATCTTAACTTAAAGTAGATATTTAGAAAAAGTAATGCTTGGAACCTTGAGTCTTTTAACTTAACACATGCCATCTTGCAACATATATATTACAGAGTTTAAGTTACTGGTAACAAAATTTTTGTTACAATTTTAAATTAATGATCTTGTCTTATACTTATACTTTTTAAATTATTATTTGTTTTGCACTTGTCATGTGAGGGCATTCATTAAGGATATAAAATTGCTGTTATGTTATTATTAGTAATAATTAGTAGTACCGGTATTATTATTAACATTATTAACAATGCATATTTATATCATAAAGATAACTGTTGTTAATTTCAAATTGCTGTAGATATAATTTAAATCATCTTCTTTTAAATACAAGACCAATACTTTAATGCTGTAAATGATTTTTTTTTTTTTTTTACAAGTTTACTTTGAATGTGTGTATTAACATTTAAGGTATTCAACTATATCCCCAATTTTTGCTCACTTGTTCCGTTGATTTAAACTTTTCTTTTTGTTATAAAAATTTTAAAGTCATTAAAATTAAAGTATGTGGACTTCCTGAGGCTGTTCGTACATATTTTAGCTTGACAAATGTTCTGTTTCCCAATTGGAACTTTAAAAAAAAAAAGTATAATGGCATTGTATATTGTTTTCGAAGGTTTCCATTGAAAATGTTTATGGGGGGGGTCGTCTAATAAAATCTTGTAGTAATAATGTAATCTTATTTTAGTTTGAGAATTAGTTAGAGAAAGGAAATTATCAATATTAATTTACAAAAATGTATAAATGCATTTTATTTACATTACAATTAATTATATTTATATATTTATTTTAGTTTTAGATTATCTCTGTGATTGTGCAGGTGGAATCTTATCATGTTAATTGAACCATTCATATCAACAAAAGCTCATATTTATATTATTAGTTTGTATTGAGGTATGTTAAGTATCTATCAAACTAAGCCAATTAAATATTCTACCATAACTGCAACATCTATTTATATTTAACATAACTGGTACCCTTAAAATTGTACCAGTACCTAACAAATGTGTTTATAATTTTTTTTTAAATTTGTGATCTCTTGTTCTTGCCTTGCATGTGATTTCATTAATTTATGTAAATTAAAATTAATTTAAACATAAATTCATAAAAAATTGTTGGTTTGTTTGCCACTTGGATGTCTGGGAATAATAAACTCAATACTGCTTGTAAATGATTGGATACCAGTATGTATATGGTTGATTGGAAAGACTTGTTTCATAAAATTGGAGGGAAAAAGCTATATTAGAAGTAGGAAATCCTAGTCTTAAACAAAATCTTAATCATAAAACCCAAATAAAAAACATTTTATTTCATCTAATCTCTGTATATACATCAATTCTGCATGCCTAGTCTTAAGGCCTTGTCAATTCTTAAAAACAAACCTCATTGATACTGACACCCTAATCCGACTTACCCCTACTAAACTGATACGGTATTTACCCTAATTTTAATTCAATGGTCATTTCTTTGATCAAATTAATTAACTAGTGGTTGGGTTACGGATGGGCACCCAAATGGGCCCTAGTTGTGCATGTCTTTTTAATATTTGTATGGGTCACTTTGAAGATATGGTAGAGAAGGATACTTTGGCTATCAAGCCAAAATGTCCTTTTAATTGTCCTGCCTTATAATTTCGAGCCGTAACAAATTTAAAATATTTTGTTCCACTATTTCAAAATTTTAGTGTCAATAAGAACAAGATTTGATGTACTAGTAGCATTTTCCTGAACTTTTCCAAAATAGCCAAGAGATTTTTTTTTAAATATAAATATACTGTACGTTTGTAAGTAAAGCATCATTCAAACATTCTTTAATAAAACCTACTCCTAAAATGTTTTCTTTATCTTTATATCTTTGTGAACTATTCTTAAACTTAAATGGACACAGCACTTTGTAATGTAAACACAATCTTTTAGAAAAACAAGCAATACAACTTTAGTTTTCAACTATTTTTATTTTGAACATAATAAGTTTATTCTTTCTTTGCTGAGCGAGTCCTGCTTTTAATAACAACAGGCTTCTGGCTTTTAAGAATAGCACATGTCCTCCTAACAGCAGAGTTGACCAAGTCCCTGCGGTAGTTATTAGCCTTCAGTGAGTTACGAATGACAGCGATGGTTTTTCTTGGACCTCTCTTCAGCTCAACTTTTGTCAGGGATTTATTTGGTTTCCGTAAACCTTTTGAAAAGTAAATTTTGATCATTTTAGTTGCATGCTTTAAAAAAAACTTGCAATTAAATATAAACTTTGGAGAAAATACAATAATTCCTGGACTTCGCTGTTGATTATTTTAGACCATATAGGTCCTTGAAAATGTCCTTTTTTTTCAGAATAATCTTTGGTAGATTTTCACCAAGCTTAAAAATTGCACAACTTTTTGCTTATCGGTATTTAAAAATTGACATAAAATAATTATTGCATATCTTAGTTAAAAACTTACACAAGGTGAAACTCACCAAGAAGCCACAAATGTCTGCTATGTATAGTTAATATCAGTTTAGAATAACTAATAACTGTGAGACTAAAAGTATATGTATCAATAAATGCAAAAACTAGGCTTTAGTAGTGCTCCACCTCATGGTCTCTCGAAAGATTTATCAAATTATTACAACCAGGACTTAAAACAACCACCCTTTCCCCAGAAAGTTAATGGGAAAGGAGTATGGTGATTGTGTCCTATGACCCAAGGAACTGATCTACTGAGCCTGATTCACCAACAACAATCGAAAGTGTGATATTTCTGTTACTGTACAACAATATTTCAATTCAACTGATTCAGTTCTATTTAAATTACAACTCTCCAGAATTTAGGGACTATTTCATTCAGTTTTACATTAAGCTTTAAGAAAACCCTGTAAGATGCATTTGCTTTGCCATTGAAAATCACTTGTAGTGTCACATAGGTTTCCTGGTTCTGTGATATTTTCCAGTTACGGTAAATTTAATGTTGAAAAAATAATACTGCATTTTTCAATTTTATGTCTGAATTAATTTCTGGAATGAATAACCACTGAATACTCCACATTTGGGTAAAGTTTAAAGGCTCTTTCATACATGGTTAAGTAGAGCATGGTTAAGTTTGGTAAAATATATTTGATTAATAGAAAGTTATCTTTAGGTAATCACCTTTTCCTTTTCGGGTTACCAACACAACACCCTTTCCATCTTTTGTTGGTTCAACACCAACTGTCTTAGAATGAATCAGGCCATTGTAACGGAAAGAATTCCTACTTTTCAAGTTATTGGGCTCCTGGAAAAAAAATCATTTGAAATAAATAATTCAAACAGAAAGGTAAAATTTGAAATATGGTAGACAGTACTAAACAAATGCATCTCCCCAACTCTAAATTATTAGCAATTTTTACAAAATTGAACGTATTTATGGACCTATAGAGTCATCTCCAGCTTAAAATTACTTTTCACTTCTTAACACAAACACTTTAAATACATATAGGTGACGTGCATATATCATGTACGCACTAGGGCAGTTGTCTATTTGCATTGCATATGTGTGCGTTAGGGCGTCCCAGAAATGCTCGGAAAAATTATTTTTTTAAATCTTTGGTGTCTCAACCCCTGAAATGTGTCTCTTGGGTACAATGAGTGAATTGGTGAAGTTGTAGCTCATTTGAACAACATTTAGAGGTCCCCCAAGAGCTTTTAAAATTTCAGTATTAGGCCAACATAAAAATCCAGACGAATCGTGGCTCAAATAATTTGCATTTTTTGCATGCCATAATATGAATAAAATGAAGTTTAAATATACTTATATTTACCTCATTGCTACCATTAACTAGAGTTGAAATTGTGTGATTCTTAATTAGAAAATGTAATAAATGCGAGAAAACATATAAGGGATGTTGGTGATGCAGCAAAAGATGCTACATCACAGTGCCGTCACCATGGGTTACCATCAGGTTCAAGTGTAGAGTCAGCAGTAGACATAGAACAGCAACTGGATGTAGGTGGTTCTGACAGTGACACAGACACACATTCAATGACATCATCCATTTGTCGGGATTCCAGTGACGATGCAGAACCTGATGAAGAATTTGTCATCCAATCAGCATCCTCAAGCAAAACAAATTCTGCAACACGACATCGCAGACGAAGCATCATATCACCAAAAGTTGCTGCAGTGCTGGACAGAACGAACACCAGCATTAGAAAATCTACAATGATACTTGCATCCGCATTCAACGAAGCTGGTGTTCCGACATCTGACACAGTATTTTCCAAGAGCACAATGCTTCGTCATCGCAAGCTTCGTCGTCAACAAGCTGCAGCACGTATAAAAGTACCTTGTTTATGACTACACACTTTGTTTATGACTACACACTTTGTTTATGACTACACACTTTGTTTATGACTACACAACTTTGTTTATGACTACACACTTTGTTTATGACTACACACCTTGTTTATGACTACATACTTTGTTTATAACTACACACTTTGTTTATGACTACACACCTTGTTTATGACTACACACTTTGTTTATGACTACACACCTTGTTATGACTACACACTTTGTTTATGACTACACCTTGTTTATGACTACACACTTTGTTTATGACTACACACTTTGTTTATGACTACACACTTTGTTTATGACTACACAACTTTGTTTATGACTACACACTTTGTTTATGACTACACACCTTGTTTATGACTACACACCTTGTTTATGACTACACACTTTGTTTATGACTACACACTTTGTTTATGACTACACACTTTGTTTATGACTACACACTTTGTTTATGACTACACACCTTGTTTATGACTACACACTTTGTTTATGACTACAAACCTTGTTTATGACTACACACCTTGTTTATGACTACACATTTTGTTTATGACTACACACTTTGTTTATGACTACACACTTTGTTTATGACTACACACTTTGTTTATGACTACACACTTTGTTTATGACTACACACTTTGTTTATGACTACACACTTTGTTTATGACTACATACTTTGTTTATAACTACACACTTTGTTTATGACTACACACCTTGTTTATGACTACACACTTTGTTTATAACTACACACCTTGTTATGACTACACACTTTGTTTATGACTACACACTTTGTTTATGACTACACACCTTGTTTATGACTACACACTTTGTTTATGACTACACACTTTGTTTATGACTACACACCTTGTTTATGACTACACACTTTTTTATGACTGCATACTTTGTTTATGACTGCACACTTTGTTTATGACTACACACTAGGGCGTCCCAGAAATGCTCGGAAAAATTATTTTTTTAAAATCTTTGGTGTCTCACCCCCTGAAATGTGTCTCTTGGGTACAATGAGTGAATTGGTGAAGTTGTAGCTCATTTGAACAACATTTAGAGGTCCCCCAAGAGCTTTTAAAATTTTAGTATTAGGCCAACATAAAAATCCAGACGAATCGTGGCTCAAATAATTTGCAGTTTTTGCATGCCATAATATGAATAAAATGACGTTTAAATATACTTATATTTACCTCATTGCTACCATTAACTAGAGTTGAAATTATGTGATTCTTAATTAGAAAATGTAATAAATGCGAGAAAACATATAAGGGATGTTGGTGATGCAGCAAAAGATGCTACATCACAGTGCCGTCACCATGGGTTACCATCAGGTTCAAGTGTAGAGTCAGCAGTAGACATAGAACAGCAACTGGATGTAGGTGGTTCTGACAGTGACACAGACACACATTCAATGACATCATCCATTTGTCGGGATTCCAGTGACGATGCAGAACCTGATGAAGAATTTGTCATCCAATCAGCATCCTCAAGCAAAACAAATTCTGCAACACGACATCGCAGACGAAGCATCATATCACCAAAAGTTGCTGCAGTGCTGGACAGAACGAACACCAGCATTAGAAAATCTACAATGATACTTGCATCCGCATTCAACGAAGCTGGTGTTCCGACATCTGACACAGTATTTTCCAAGAGCACAATGCTTCGTCATCGCAAGCTTCGTCGTCAACAAGCTGCAGCACGTATAAAAGAAGACTATATTCCCTCAAAATCAATTGTTCATTGGGATGGTAAGCTATTGCCCGATGTTACCGGAGAGGTTACCAACAACGTCGATCGATTACCTGTCCTGCTCTCATCACTTGTCGATGGCACTACAAAGCTTCTTGGTGTTCCCAAGTTAGCATCCGGGTCCGGGTCAGGACGGGCAGCTGCTGATGCAGTATATGAACATATCAAATCGTGGAAGTGCAAATCTATGGTCATCGGCATGTGCTTCGACACTACGGCTTCCAATACTGGAAGACTCAATGGAGCTTGCACTCTGTTAGAAGTAACCCTGGGACGTAATCTATTATGAATGGCATGCCGTCATCACATGTTGGAAGTACTCCTTTCCTATGCATTCAATGTTTGTCTTGGACCATCCACTGGACCAGAGATTTTGTTTTTTAAGAGGTTTCGAGAAAAATGGCCAGAATCAAACCACACACCCGAAGCCAGATCCGCCCCTTTGATAATTGTGTCTGATTCGATTAAAGAATTTATCAAATGTCAACTTGAGGTCAGTCATTCACGTGATGATTATTTGGAATTTCTTCAGCTTGCTGCACAAATGGTTGGGTTGGAGGTTGATGTCAGCATTCGCAGACCTGGTGCCCTACATAAGGCAAGGTGGATGGCGAAATCAATCTATGCATTGAAAATCGAACTATTGTTTGCAGGCAACGAAACCATCTTTCAGTTAACAGCTCGAGAATTACAAGGTATTCAGCGCTTTAATCGGTTTACCATATGTGTTTATCTTCAATCATGGTTTTCATGCAGGCTCACCGCAGATGCACCTGTGAATGATATCTTGTTGATACAGCGTTTATACGAATATGATGATGCTGTTCTTCGATCGACTGGATTGAAAATGATGGTGCGTCACTCGTGGTACTTGAGTCCGGAACTGTCGACGCTTGCGTTATTTTCAACCCTTTTGTCAGACAAAGAAAAAAATGGCCTTGTTCGGACAATGCAATCAGAACGTGGACCGCATCTCATAAAAACACTACCAAAAAGTGTTGTTGATTTGCGTGCTTCTACCACATTTTTTGAAACATCCAACATTGATACCAGTTTTCTAGATGTTCCTGTTGAAGCATGGTCAGATACACCATCTTTTAAAGTTGCAGCAGATTTTGTAAAGAATCTGGCTTGTATCAATGACTCTGCAGAGCGAGTTGTAGCATTGATACAAAATTTCAATGATAGTATCACCAAGGACGAAGAACAAAAACAATTTTTGCTCCAAGTGGTTGACAAACATCGGAAAAATTTTGCAGAGTGTAATCGTGAACAGCTGGCTAAAATTTAAAGAACTTTTTAAAATTTTTGTCTGCCCTACAGTACAAAGTACAAGATAAATATTAGGAATGCTTAATTGCATTGCTTATTATTATTATTTTTCAAGCAGATTGACATTCTTTCAAGAATTAACTTGACAAAATGAATAAAACATTGTTTTTCATAATTTTTTACTTAAATTTCAAATTTAAAAATATAAACCATTCAAGATTTATACATTTTGTTTCATTTAATATTATAAACAATACTAAGCATCAATGTGTGTACTTAATATATCAGTTTCGTATATAATGCAACATTAACGCTGTATTAGATTTGAACGCTGTATTAGATTTGAACGCGAATGATTTTACACCAAAATCTGGAACTTTAAACCTCTTGGGGGACCTCTAAACATTGTCCAAATGAGCTGAAATTTTGCAGGTTAACTACTGTTACCATACAGACATATTCTGTGGGGTGAGACATCAACATTTCAAAACTTCATTTTTTTGGGACGCCCTAGTGTGCGTATGTATCAATTATTTACATTTATTAAAAAATTCTACAATAATCATCCTAAAATTCTGAGAGTGACAGTAAAAAAAAACATGTTCATATCTCTAATGCTGTAAAAATGTCACAGAATTTTTGTGTATGAATTATCCTCATAATGTTGCTTAGTGTCTTAAAACATTTATTTTAACTCGATAGATATAGCTCAAGTAGTACCCACTAGTAGTCTGAGTACGACAGTAATATTTCACAGCATCCCTGTGAGGAAAAGCAGCACCTGGTACAAAGCCAGAAAATATATATTATATTGAAAAAAGTGCCCCTGGAGCAGACCAGTAGAAAGACTATCAAGCCCATTTTCTCTGTGAGATATATGGGATTTAATAGTTTAATTCACTATTAAGGTCCTACCTAAAGATAATTACTGCCCACTGTGCCCCATTATAATGGCTCTGTCAAAGGACAATGTGACATCCAGGGCAATTAAGTATATATTCTGGACACCACTGGGCTTGTCATAAAAATCAATAAGCTATTTTTTTGTTGGTGTCTAGTTTTTTAGGGTTGGGGCCGAAAGCTCATTGAACATGCGCAAGTGGTTGTCCAAAAAAACACTATATAGGTGGCCCCTTAGCAAAAAAAAGGAGTAAAACATTTGTATATCATTTGGTATATCCATATTTTCCCCCAGAAACTGAAAGATGATAGCAGTATAAGAAAGTAAATTTAATAACTTGTTAAAGAGAGACAATATTCAATTCCACAACACAACAGGTATCTGTATTACTAGAGCTGCCATAGTTAAATGATGAGATAAGACTGTAAAGATAAAAATCTTAAAACTCACCAGACTCATGTTCTGCTTACTCCTCTTCAATAAAGTTGAGGAGTTATTCCTAATAATCAACCAGGCAACGTCAGCTGTGGCCATTGTTCCTGTAAAAAAATAAGATTTTGAAATGAGTTTTAAAAAGCAGGACATTAGGCTTAGGTCCCAGTGTTTTTACAATGTTATATCATCTGCATAAATTTCTACACAACCTAGCACATGTCCATCCTTAAAATATAACCTAGCACATGCCCATCCTTAAAATATAGAATATAGAAGAAGAATACTAGTTACACAAAAAAAAATTCAATTGGGCACTCAAATTCACTTTAGAATTGTTTTGTTTAATTTTTGCAAAAACTACAAAGAAAAGTTGAAAATGGAGCACTGCAGCATTAGGCACCTCATCCTGCACAAAACATAATACAGATTAACACCAGTTCTGTTTTTGACTATCACATGCAGGAAACAATATTCTATAGGCAGTGTCTACACGTCTGGGGCACCAGACGTCTATCTCACGCACCATTTGTCCGGCGACAAAGTCACATGACCGCCGGAAGAATACTTTATCGAGATATTCGTTCAAGTCACATGACCGCAGTAACAAAGTGGCACTAGATATTTGTCCATCAGCCTTGTCACGAAAACTGCAAATGATTCAAAACTATTTTTTATTTTAAAATCTTTTTCTCTCCCTAGTAATTTACTGAGTACCGGTATCTTGCAAACAAATAATAGAAAAATACTTTGATATATTACCAAAAACAAAGTGGGGGTTAAGGAATAATGCATTCTGGAAGGAAGCAATGCTGAGAGGGAGAGAGAATTACGGTAATAAAAATATGATTTAATATGAATGCTAAAATAATAATAGTGAGGGTGATAAATAATTAAGTTTAAGACGGGGAGGCTGATAGTTCACAAAGAAATAGACCATACATCTTAATGTAGGGCAGATAAATGGTAGCCTAGCCTGCTTCTCATGCAATACTGAAATACAACTTTATTGACATAGGTCTATTGAAGTCTACTGGTCTTATTTTTATTTTGATAATATTTTAAATTTAGGCTTCAACTTTAAGGTAGAGCTTTACAAGATGTATTAACCAAGATAAGGAAAATTTTTCTTTGAAGAGTCGGAATCAAATAGACTAGTAATAATAGAAGTAATAGTACTCTAGTTAGTAGGCTATGTAGGCTGACTAATTTAGTATTCAAAGTCAAACACTTTATGTATCTCAGAGCATTCGAATATATTAACATGTTCAGCATTTATTTATTATTTAGGGATCGGAATATCAAATGCAATGCAACTATTTTGCCGGCACCACTTGTCACATGACATGTCCGCCGGACGTATATCTCCCGCACTATTTGTCTGGCACGCCAGACGTGTAGACACTTCATATTCTATATGGTACCAGATGACATTAGACCCAGGCCCAGGGTTGTCTACGGATTACCACACATGTGGGCCTTACCTTGCCTTAAAGTAATTTTGATATGATTCATAATATGCAGCTGCTTGACTCTAGATCACTTTCCTCACCAAAGTATTTTTGAAAGCGTCTTCCTCTTATAGGTTTTTTAAATAGGTAGTGTGATTGTGCTTGGGGTGCTATTGCCCCATGGTACTTAATGTCCAATGCCCAGCTTATCCTTAAGTGTTTTACAGTGTTAGGCCTTTGTCTACTACTAGTAAATAGTTACTATCAAGTAGCTGGTTGAATAATAAAAAGTAGGTTTCATATGAGTACATATGATACCTACCAAGAAAATGGGCATAATATGGGCTACATCTAGCTTAGTCACTCAAGAGTGGTGTACAGGTAAATTAAGAGTAATCTTTTCAAAGCCAAATGAAGACAAACCTTAGGTGCAAAGTGCCAAAAACAGGTGACTTTAAAAATATATCAATTAACAAGTTGAAGATGTAGGCAAAGCCACTAAATACAGAATTGTGAAAAAGTTCTGAAGGCCCCCATCTGCAGCATTCAATTTGGAAATGATCGTGTGAGCTTATAATTATGAATTAATTAAATGTAAAGGACGAATGCCACTATTTTATCGATGGCCGCGACTAATGCCCTAAATCGATCCCTATGCCTAACCTGAACCCTAAATCGATCCCTATGCCTAACCTAAACCCTAATTCACTGCAACTATAATAAACAAGTAAATGATGCCGTGGCATTTGTGCTTTACATTACCCAAATTAAGAAGTGATTAGATAAAATCATTGATCATTGTAACCTTAGAGACAACACATGCTTGAGTATGGCTACATGTTTGTGGTCTGGAGAAATCCAGAAAACCAAGCCTAATACTAATTCAATTTCCCTATTAATTTAACTTACTACAACTATTTAAGGAACTGGTGCTTGGCTTTACTTATGACTATATTTATATATAAGACCCAACCATTTTATACTCAAGGATCAACAGATACATGCATGGTTGTGGTATGGAGAAAATTTGGGACTAATGACTAATACCAGTATTCAATTAATTAGGACTATTTTGGTGCCGGTGCCTATGTAAATACAAAAAAAAAATGCAAATATTATTTCATATTGCGGGCCTATAGATTAATGGAAGCTTATCAAATGGTGCTAGACATAGCTTTGTCTCAGCAAAATGGGCTTCCAATTCTGCAACACGCACGTCACACTATCTTAAGACTACCCGACAATATTTGATTATCGATAACTGGATAACACGTGTAAATTGATACTAAGTTTAATAATAGTAAGACATTCCGACTATTAACGGAAATTTAATGAATTAATTCATTTAAAACTATTAACTAAAACAAAAAATTCTTCAATCACCTAACGTAAAGTATATTATAATTATCTTATTTTAATTATGTTTCAAGACGTCTTCCAATGCCTACCTATTTCTTTGGATACACAAGGGAAAAGAACGCTTCCGGTCAATCCTTTTATTAATGCGCTAACTAAAATGTAGATCTGAAACATCGAATGAAAAAGAAGTGAATCTGTTAAATTTATTTATTTCAAATACATGTCATTGAATTATACTTCATATATTTGTAAGTTTTAACAGTTAAATATTAATTTTTTGTTTTTATAGAATATTTTAATTTTCGACTACATAAGGGGATACTCAATACGTCTACCGCCATGATAAACCTAATACACTAAAAGCTGCGTTTTCTGCTAGCAGCTAAGGTAACTAATTCATATACTAAATGCTACGTGTATCGCACTTGCGATCTTGAACAAGTTTTGAAATAGACGCGAATGTAAAAGTATATATAAACTAGTTATTGTTATTAAATGAAAGAAAGCAAGGTTATGCTGTCTGATTTTTTTTGGTTAAGTACTTTATTCTAAAAAGTGATTTATAAAGCCAAAATATCAGTTGCACAAAAAATTGAATTTATTTAATTGTTGTCATTCAAAATAAATCAATAAATTATAGTGAGATGAAAAATGAATATTCTGAATCTTTCCATCTTCAAAGAAGAATTTGTAGTTTTATTTATTGATACGCTAGAATGTGGCTGCACTTTTTGCAGGGAAATATTGACTGGTAGTTTACTTTGGCCGTCCGTCAACTTCTAAATTGAGAAAAGTTTGGGAAATTGAGTATTTTAATACTGTATTTACCACTTTTGGCTATACGGAAAGTTCATCAATGATACTCTCCCTTTTACTAATTATGTTGATTGGCTTAATGTCTCTTCTACATTCGTTTTTGAAGCAGTCATCATAGACTTCCAATTTTTCTTGTGACTTCTGCCAGTTCCCCGTACAGCAGGTTTTTTTCTATTGGCATTAATCATATCCTCAAAACTGTTTTGTTTTTTTTTTCTGTTCCTCCTTTATTCCTCCGCGGGTTGATGGCCAATGACTTAACTTTAATATAATGGTAAGATAGAAAAACTGCACACGAAATTAATAGTTAAAATATTTATTTCCCATATATTCAATCAATCAACTGATTTTGAAAACGTTTAATTAAGTAAGTGCTATTTAACTACTCCAGTAAACTTATATTTTGCTTGAACACGGTAGCACACTCACTGCTCGGTTTACCGCCGTGGTACTCGTAGCGCCGGTCCTTTTTTTATCACGGGAAAGTACTTAGAATAATTTTAACTTTTAAATGATTTAGCCTCCCTTGAAATCTAGCCAATTATCGCTTGTCAAAGAAATGGGTTTTTAAGTGATAAATGTAAATTTTAAATAGTATGTAAGTAGTGCAGGAATTAAATAATTCAGAAGTCGAAAAGTAGAAATCAAAATTACTTTTCAACTTTATTAAAGTCCTAAACCGAGTGATCAGACTGAGGGCTATGTACAGTATTAGTATACTAACTTGACTTAACTATATAATATAACTTATAACAAATCAGGGCTTAATAACTTAATATAATTATTTAAAATAATTTATTATAATTATTAATTTTATAAATATTATAAGTTATAGGTAATCTGCCACTTCAGCTTCAGTTATTAAAAATAATGTTATACTGGTTTGAAGTGTTATTTAAACAGTTATTCTTTTATCGAAATCCGTTAGTTAAAGTTAAATGGAGAGAGGGCCCCTGGGCCTGGGTTTTTGGTGACATATATCACCCATATGTCTGATACAATAAGTGAGCTTAGAAGGATATATCTCGCAATGCACTTTTGCCAACCTGATCCCAAATCAGTCTGGCACTTCAACAAGAAAACAGCACCCACTCTTTTTCTTTCTACAGTCTACTATAGACTATAGTATAGTCTATAACTATAGTAGTATACCGTATACCACTATGAAGGAGTCAAACAGGCAGAAGCTGCACAAAACAAATTCCTTGCACCAAAATGGAGTATTTTGGAGGCCAAATTTAACCAGCCAGTATTCAAGGTTCTCCTGCGAGACTGCCATTCCAGAATCTGCCTCAAAAGCCATTTGATGCGGCGTCAATAGCAATTAATTTCTTGGGAAGACTGAAGGATGCCGTAAAAATTAAAATACTAATAATAATAGTATTAAAAACAGTACAAAATTAAATATTAGGCTAGTTTTATTATAAGATAAATATGGCATCGGCATGGTCTAGGGCTAAGGGCAGTAAGGCTAAGGCTCGGCTTAGCTTCTTAGTCTCTAAGCCATCCCAAGCTAAACATACAATAGTTGGTTATGACCTAGGCTAATGACACAAATCAAATCAATAAATATTTTTTTTTTTTAAATGACGTAACATTTTATACCACAGGGCAAGGCCCGCTAGAGCATATATCCAGACCTGTTTACCCTCAAACTTAAAATTGTACAATATCTTCACAAAATCATACAATACATTATTTTACTATGCTAGGGCATAGGTCTAATATATAATTAATATTAATTGTGGGTGTGCTTGGGTGGAAAAGCTACATACCGGTATTTATTGCAGACATCAATCAACGTTTGCAAAAAATTCAAACATCCTTTATGAACTACACCTGCCCTAAAACACTACTTGATTTAATTTAGTTGTGTAAGTGCTTATGAGTTTAATATGTACAAAACCAGATGAATTTTTTGGGGAGTTGCTTTTTATTTTTATACCTGACAAAAAAAAAAAAAGACATTTTCCTCTACCCCTAGCATAATTAAGAAAAAAATAATTTTAATATCTGCCCCCTCAGCTATTCTTGTCAGTGGTTAATAGATAACTCTAATTCAAATATTACTTATGGAAATGGTTAACTCTATACATGGTACTTTTAATATTCAGCAATATATAATGATAAAAAAGAAAGAAACTAAAGATTCAACTGCTTCTCCTCCTTCAACTAAAGAAGTCTTAGGAGTACATTTACACCATAAAGTCTCTCAAGCAGTAGAGGAATACTTCAGAAATAGCAAGGTGAGCAAATATTATACACTGTTACTCTTACTCTCTTTAATAATTTGTATATGCCCTGGTAAGAAAAATAAAAATCTTCAAAAAGTTCATAAATTTATTTGGGGTAATTTTTGTAAACTTAATTTCTGTTTTAGTTTAGTAAATTAATTCATCGCATAATGAAATATTAACCATCCATATAAAAAAAAAAATCCTGTTCAAGTTGGTGTAGCATATATATTAGGGATGAATTTCTTTCTTCACACAGAATTTGATGACTGATGGTTGCAGTCCCGCTGATAAAGTAACTGGTATGTTGCTGGAAAGATCTGATAATGATATACTGAAGATGTTACAGGATAGCAGATTTTTGATGGACAACATTGAAATGGCCTTGACCTTCCTGTACAAAGAAAGTCTTTTATCATCAGATAGTTCAGAATCAGGGTATATGATCATTCATAGTTTCTTTAAAACATATTTGTCTATTCTTGATATTTAAATATTAGCTAAGACTTTATAAATAGCTACAAACAAATAAACAAACGGATTCAAAATAAGGGTATAGACAGAATGGTTTTTGTTCAGCTTTATGGAACATTCTGTTCATTTATTTAAATGTTATAGCTAATTGATGGCTACAAAATACGTTCAGCAATCTCACACTTCCAAGATAATTATTTATTATTATATGTTTACCTCACCCCCTCACCCAAAAATAAATAATAATAGTAATAATTTTGAATGGGGAAAATCCAGTTTGCCAACAAATAAATAGTGGGTGATTAAATTTTAAGATAAAAGCATTTGAATCTCAGGTTTTAAAAAAGTAGAAATTGTGGTATTTTTTGCAGTGAACATAATTTATTACTTTCCATATATTTAATAAAATGTTTTTAATAATAGTAATAATAATAAAGTTCATTTCAAAAACACGCTTCATCCCCAAAGGCTCGAAGCGCGGTACAAAGTCAACAAAAAACAAATCTATAGTTTACCACATTTAAAACAAACGCAACACGACAAAAACTAAGTACAAGCATACAATGGCAAAGTCTTTCTAGCCATTTCAACCATAAGCAACACAGCCATTATGCATTAACTGGAAAATAATGTTGACAATCATCCCAGAAGGTGTTTGCGAAATAGATGTGTCTTTAAATCGGTTTTAAAGGACTCCAGTGTCTGGTTGTTTCTGAGATCGACAGGAAGGGCATTCCAAATTGTTGGACCAGCAAATGCGAAAGTGCGCTTTCCGTAAGTCTCAAGGCAAACACGTGGTGTCGAGAGTTTGCCACTATCGGATGAGCGGAGCTCTCTAGTGGGTACATAAGGCGTCAGCAGCTCTTTCAGATAGGACGGCGCCAGGTCATGTAAGCAGCGGTAGCACAAAGTTGCGATTTTGTACTCCATGCGAGCACGCACTGGCAGCCAGTGCAGCTCTCTCAGAAGTGTTTTTGCATGGTCAAACTTGCGTTTGCGGAGAACAATGCGAGCCGCATTATTCTGTGCTATTTGAATTTTATCCAGGAGCGTAGCTGGAAGACCCACCATAAGAGCATTGCAATAGTCCATGCGTGATAGCACAAATGCAGACATCAGCCTCTTTGTTGCATCAATTGTTAGGAAGGGCCTGATGTGACTAATCCTGCGCAGCTCTAGAAAAATCGCCTTGCATAGCATGTTAATATGACTTTCAAAAGTTAGTCTTCCATCTAGGTAGACACCCAGGTACCGCACTGTTTGAGCTAACTCAATACGCACACCTGAGAGAGTAATGGATGTAGTGTTATTTGCAGATTTTTGCTTCTGAGCGGTCGCGATGGGGAGCAGCTCAGTCTTATCATCATTTAATTTGAGCTTGTTTATCGTCATCCAGTGCTTAACCGACTCCATTTTGTCTTGCAGAGGTAAATTGTCATATGAAGAGATTGGTGAGATTTTGTTTGTAAAGGTTCAAAAGCTTGAAAAAGATTTGGCCCCTCAGATAACTGGTAAATAATTTTGCCTTGAAATTTTAAAACATTTACAACCATTATTTTAAAACAAGATTTTGATGTTAAAGATATCCCTTCAAATTTGTGAGTGATACACTGTGCTACATATGTTTCTTAAAACAGCAAGATTTATTTTTGGGGAAAGTGAGTGGAGTGTGGGGAGAGAAACAAGATTTCACGGGGTTGTTGTTTTTTTTTACACTTAAGTTTACACATTCTAAAAATTATTCATTTAAAAGATTATTTTAAATACCCACACTGTTTTGTTTTTATAATTTTTAAATTCATTTTTTTTGCCATGCAAACTTAAATGCAAGGAACCATAAAGCTCTTTATTCTGAATATTCTTGCCAGTCAAATGCAACAAAAATACTACATGTTTATTTGAAAGTTTTTAAAAACGTTTCCATAAAAATATTGCATAGTTTAATAATTATTGTATTTATTTAGTTGCTTTATTGAATTTGGTTTGCTTTACAGTTGAGATGGGTCAGCGTCACAGAATAGTTTTATCTTATCAATTTGTGCTTCAAAGCTAACATTTCATTAAAAAAAATTTTTTTTTAAAATATCACTTAATAAATATCTCATTTTTAATGTCAGGAATGCTTTTAGAGCTAGACATCAGAACTCTGCTGCAGCTACTTAGCGCAGACAGCCTACTGTTTAGTGCTGTTAACAAAGCAAAGACAACACTGGCATCCACTCAGCCAACAACCTATTCAGGATCACTTGGTTTCCTTATGAAGATGCCTTTTTTTTCATTACTGCCTTTAAACAATTATGTGTGGACAAGGAGGGATAACATCATGAGCCAAAATGAAATTGAACGAGAACGGATCGGCATTCATGTATTCAGTGAGGTTCTCAAACTATATCAGGACACAGACTGCGCCTCAAAAATTACAGGTTTGTAAAGAATGCAATTCCTTTCCTCATAGCTTGTGTTACAGAAACTTCTACACTATATTATATGAACAAGAATTTTTAAATATTATTTTTGAAAATTGGGGGAAAAAAAAATGCCTCCTAGCCAATCTGCCAATCTCACTCTGAAATGTTAATTTTTAAACTTATTTTATTTGTTTCTCTCTAGGCATGATCCTTGAAATGGACCAATCTGCTCTTCAAGAAATACTTACAAACAGTCAGAGTATGGAGGCTGCCATCTTGAAAGCCTATTCTACTCTGAAAGTAGTGAAAGCCTCCTCCTCATAATCAATAAGGAAAACAGTATTGTAGCTCATGGTGTGTTATTATTGTTTTTCCACACTCAATGTTTCTGTTTAAATATTCACAAGTTGTATTGATTTTTATAGAGTAACCTTGTGAAATCCAGGGTGTTTTTAATGTTATATATGAAAATTTATTTTTCACATCATTTTTTTTTAAAATTGAGTTTCAAATATAATATTTCTTTAATGCAGCGGTTCTCAACCTGGGGGTCGCGATCGCTTTGGGGGTCGCACAATCCTTACACAATTGTCGCCTAAGACCTTCAGAAAACACATATTTATGAAGTAGCGACGAAAATAATTTTATGGTTGGGGCTCACCAGCAACATGAGGAGCTGTATTAAAGGATCGCAGCATTAGGAAGGTTGAGAACCACTGCTTTGATGCAATATTTTTTATGACATGAAATATGACTATTTGTTAATAAATCATTCCACTAGTTTGTAGCTTTAATTTCTTAAGAACCACATTATTCAATTTCAATGTAATGTATTTGAAATTATTTATGCCGTACATTTTAATAATATAATAACAAGAAGAAATTAAGTTCTGATGAGTTTTTCAAATTACAAGGGCAAAATAGTTCAATGTTATCTAAAGAAACTTTATAAAACGAACAATTTTTATTTAGGCTTAAAGACTGCAAAGTTGTTTAGAATCAATAGAAAGGTATAATAGGAAGTTGCTTGCCATTTGAGATACCAAGTTTCATGCAGCCACGAGTTAGCTTTACTTGTTTCGTTTTAATTTTGAAAGATTTACATGAAAATAACTGTTTTGACACACGTGAGTTTGTATGCAATGTGTATTTGCATTTCATGCTGACTACGGTACCAACAGCTGTATCTTATGAATGTGTGTTCTATTTGAATGAACACAACTGCCGTTAGCGATATTTGTTCTTAAGGGAATAATATGCAAAATGGCGTATAGTTTTATAGAGATGTGGGTTAGGGAATGGCACGCAAGGTGGACACAATACAGCTCGGGTCGAATCTGGGTAAAAAAAGCTCACAATGTTGACACTTTTCTTCAAATATTTGTTTTTTTTCACCCAATGTTTTTTATTATGTTATCAATTTTATTGGTTATTGCTTTGATTTTTTGACCAAGTTGTGATTTGGGTTGCGTTTCATGAGAATAGTTACTCCTGTTCATTGTGGTACTTTCTAATACCTAAATAATATTTGCGTGACGGTACACACATTCTTACATTTTGACTTCGTGCAAAGATGTTTACTTTATAGAGAGTGTGTTTATTTTAAAAGTCTTTTCTTTTTTATTGGCGCAATCTTTGAAGAGGAGAGAAGTTGTAATTGAATACCACTTATTTCTGCAGCTTTGATAAAGCGCTTATGGTGAAGTCGGTTTTTATTTTTGCTTTGTTTAAAAGTATGTTTTTGGTGATTGTAATAGTTTTTAAACTTTGGTCACATTCAACATTTTTTGCAGGGATGTTTGTGATGGAGCATCCTGGGATTGGGTTAGTTTTTTAAAATATATTTTTATTTATTTTATTTTCTTGTGCAATAAATTATTAACGTTATGTCCAATTGTAATCTGATTTTTTATTTATGTTTGAATTTATATATTTAGAAGAGTGTTGTAGGTTTTTTTAATCGATGAAGTTCAATTAAATTTTGCCTCGACTATAATTTTTATTTTTGTCTTTGCGTTAAATGTATATAAACATTAAAAACTTAATTTTAGGATAATCCAAAAGCAATAATCTAAATTAAGTCCCCAATCTGTTAACAACTGGTTGCAAAAAAAAAAAAGGGATACAGCTGGTGGCATACAAGATATGGCTGGTGGCATGCAAAAGAGAGCCATTGGCATGCAAGATACAGCTGGTAGGAAGCAAGATACAGCTGGTGGGATGCAAGAGACAACTGGTGGCATGTTAATTTTTATTTTTGTCTTTGCGTTAAATGTATATAAACATTAAAAACTTAATTTTAGGATAATCCAAAAGCAATAATCTAAATTAAGTCCCCAATCTGTTAACAACTGGTTGCAAAAAAAAAAAGGGATACAGCTGGTGGCATACAAGATATGGCTGGTGGCATGCAAAAGAGAGCCATTGGCATGCAAGATACAGCTGGTAGGAAGCAAGATACAGCTGGTGGGATGCAAGATACAGCTGGTGGCATGCAAGATACAGCTGGTGGCATGCAAGTTACAGCTGGTGGCATGCAAGTTACAGCTGGTGGCATGCAAGATACAGCTGGTAGGGGGGTGGGAGGCGGATAAAAAGTTTAGCAAGTGAAGGTGAACACGATATTCATACCATGTAGTGTCAGGTCCTGTAAATCTGAATCAGATTGTTTTCCGATTTCCCCATCGTGGGCGTGTTGCTACAGGACGCAATGGTGGTGATAAAAATAACTTCTGGGGACCTTTTGGTCTTTTCTATTGAAAAAAATTTGTTGATATGGAACACAGCTTATCTTGTGCGATGTAGCAAAGGTGTTCGTTAAATCTGTCCGACAGGCGTCATCCAGTCTCACTTAGATACGCCATCTTATAAAGGATAGAAACAAAAGCGTAGCCAACATTGCGGGTAGTACATAGGAAACCGTCACTTATCTGAAAACTAAGCTTGGGGAAGGGAATGCGTTGAGTCTAAATGACAAAAGCGCAAGTTTTGCAACGGCTTTGCCTTCATGCCTTAGTCCCAAAGTGGGAATGGGTCAGCGTGGGTGCGACTGGGCGCAAGGAGCTCCCACAGATTCTCATCTCTTCTGAAAACAATGAGAGGCCGGGCTGAGATTTTGTTGGGGGAAGTCAGGGTCGGCGAGGAAAAGGGCACGTTTTTAGGGAAAATATATTTGGCTATGAGATAATCAGGATGATATGCGAGAATTTGTTTGATCCTGTCACAATTTTCACTCGGACGAGACCTGAAAGCATCAGCACTAGTGATATTTTTAACCGGTTCAATGGTGACCCCGATACCATCATCAATGGTGACCCCAACACCATCATCAATGGTGGCCCCAATACATCATCAATGGTGACCCCGATACCATCATCAATAGTGACTCCAACACCATCATCAATGGTGACCCTGTTACCATCATCAATGGTGACCCTGAAACCATCTTCAATGGTGACCCAAATATCATCAGCAATGGCGACCCTAATACCATCATCAATGGTGACACTAATACCATCATCAATGGTGAAACTAATACCATCATCAATAGTGACCCTGATACCATTATCAATGGTGACCCCGATACCATCATCAATGGTGACCCCAATACCATCATCAATCGTGACCCTAATACCATCATCAATCGTGACCCTAATACCATCATCAATGGTGACACTAATACCATTATCAATGGTGAAACTAATACATCATCAACACACTGTTTGTAAAATTCAGGGATGCACCCAGTGTAGTTTCTCTCCATCCTGTGTTCGAAATGTCCCATGAACCAACATGCGGGGCTGTGTCCCATTTTAGCCCCCATAGCAACACCCCTGATTTGGTCGAAGAATCGGCCGTTAAACTCAAACGAAAAGAGGGTGAGAACAAGTTCAGCCGATCGGAAGATTGTGTTAGTATTAGTAGGTATAGATGGAGGAGGTTTACTCAGCCACCACTACCCAGCTCCCCCCCCCCCACTTTTTTTTTTCATTACTCTTGGAGATGGAGGATGGCTATACCAAATAATTGAAATACTGCAGATTTGATTCACTCGACAGCCAAGATGTGCACACCCAAGTGCGCATTAAACGAAAAGAGGGGGAGAACAAGTTCAGCCGATCGGAAGATTGTGTTAGTATTAGTAGGTATAGATGGAGGAGGTTTACTCAGCCACCACTACCCAGCTCCCCCCCCCCACTTTTTTTTTTCATTACTCTTGGAGATGGAGGATGGCTATACCAAATAATTGAAATACTGCAGATTTGATTCACTCGACAGCCAAGATGTGCACACCCAAGTGCGCATTGTTCTCGATGTGTCTGCGCCCTATGAGCTGTCAAGGAAATACGTCATGGAGACCATCTCATTACGATCAGACAACTAACACAAGTAGAAAAAACGTCTCTTTCCTGAAATAGGTAAATGGGGTCGTTATTGGGATTGTCATCTCAATTCCACTTCTACTTAGAATTTTACATCATTTTGTCATAATATTTAATGTTGTTGTTGTTTTTTTTTAATTTAATGTACCGGTAATTAATTTTTTTTTAAATTAGAAATACGTGAAGAGTTCTACAACTTACAAAAAAAAATTAGTTTGATTGAATGGTAGGCAACTTAACTACATAGAATTCCGCGAATACATAAATCATGGGGGAGGGGGACAATTCAAATCTTCTTCTTTTAAGAGGGGAGGTGTTAAGTAGAAAGGTTGGATAACCCTCCACCAAATACAGAGTAAGAAATGCAGCACGGAGCCACCTTTTTAAGCAGGGCTGATAATTTCATTGAAATATTCCCATGCAATATCTGTGAGCGAATACATAATACGGGTGAATTTATAACGTGATGTTTGTTATATTTATTTATATATGGCATCCTTCCGTGCTCGCGAGACGATGGAGTAGCTATTGACACTTCTTGACATGGCTTGCTAGGCCGATCCTGGAATGGCAGACTCCTCACAGGAGAACCTTGACTCCTTGTTAAGTTTGACATTCCGTGAAGCATTTTTCTTTGCAATAGCTATGTTTTAGCGCATCGTCTGCCTATTCGACTCTTTCATACACTGCTGTTTGGTCACCTGGAACGGTGCTCAGCGATGATGATCTCCCGTGCGATATATATATATATATATATATATTAAATTTATTTATTTATTTATTCATTTTACCCAAAAATGGAAAGTGGGGGGTCTGTGCAATCAACAATACCATTAGATATGCCATGAGAGGTGGTTGGAGGTCGCTTCACCCACCACATCCTTCACTTTTGAACACACCCCAGAGGATGAATGTCTTGAGTCTTAGGGATGTTATGATTTTATCGGCCACATTACATTCTTGTTTGAATTACACTATGTCCGCATCTCTGTTCCCTCTATAGTTTACCAGCGATGGGTGTTGGTGACCAGTGAGATGGTCCCAATTAAAGTCAAGCTGCTTGGTCCCTGATGTGAGTGTGACTTCGAATTTTATACTCATCCTCTCCACACCACCCCCCATCCCAAATTCATAAGTCTAATCCCACTGAAGTCTCCATTCGGTCCACTGGCTAAAATTATTTTTGTCTTCTCCAACCACTCGCTTCTTTTCATTTCTATTAATAGCTTATATAATGCATCTATAGCCGTCGTACGTTTACACCAAATGTTCTACACGCTTATACTCATCACGACATTCCTATACTCATCACTACACTTAGCCTACACCCCAACACTCATCACAACTCACTATACTTAGCCTATGCTCAACATAGATTTTTGTATTTAATGTATGGGCTCATTCATATCATACACATAGATAGATTTTTACAATCAATTATACTTTTATAGCATGGATAAAATGTTTGTTTTTTTGTGTGTTTTTTTTTAAACGGTGAATCTTACATACTTCTTTGCAATTGATGCCCCCCCCCCCAGAGGCGTAGCGTGGTGGGGGCAGGGGAGACAGATGTCCCCGGGCGCCGGCTAGTTAGGGGCGCCAAAATGTGCTTTGATATTATTTTATTGATGAAA